TTTCCCTCTCTCCCGCCCTATCTCTCTCCGCCCTTTCCGTCCTGAGTGTGTCTTGCACCCTTTTCCCGTTCTACCACCGGCGCTCCGCCTTTTAATTCCCTCAATTGAGTTCTCTTCGTGATTTTCTGCCGGTAAAGCTCGCCGAAATTTCTCGGGAAACAGAATAGCTGGCCCCCCGTAGGGTGGGAGACGCTGGTTTGGCTGCTTAGCCCTTGGATCACTGTGCCACATATTCGCCCTCGAACCTCCACCGGAGGCATCAAAGGTTACCCCTGAACTTCAGGTCGTGGCATCAGCTTCTCCGTCCCTTCGTAGGCTCAACGGTGGCGTGGCTGGCTGTCCTGCCCAGAAATTCATTCTGTCCGGTTCTGAACTTCGAACATTGAACACCGAGCATCAAACATTGCATGGAGGAGAGATGGAAATTCGAATGGCTTGCGCGGTTGTCTTGCTCCGCCTCTGGGAGAGCCGTGTCGGCATTTTCGTGCCTCGAGAATCTACCCACCCAGGTTGGCGGCTTCGGCGCCTTCCCGAGGCCTAAGGACGAGTTAGGCACGAGTCAAAAAGTTGAAGGACGAACCTTGTCTTTTAACCATCTCGTAACGCCAGCGAATTGTCGGGATCGAATCGGCAACAGTTCTGTTTGCCTTGTCCAGTGCCCCACGTTGCCAACGTGGGTGTGATATACATCAGGTGCGCATTCACTGACGGGCGCGATCGTGCCAGCGCTAACAAGTGTCGGATCCCATCAGAACCTCGTAGTTAAGCATGCTTAGACGGGAGCAGTTCCAGAATGGGTGACCGCCCGGGAGGTTCTTGTGTTGCACCCCTCCCCTTTCGTCTCTTTTTCCTTCTCCCACCCACTCTACTCGCGATTTCCTTTCCTCGCTGTAGCAGGAAGTGCAAAAAGGACCGGTATCGTTTTCGTTTGCTTGCTCCGGCCACCAAGCCGCAGACGCATATCTACACTTTTCATGCGTCCATTGACGGGTGCGATCATACTAGCACTAATGCATCAAATCCCATCAGAACTCCGTAGTTAAGCATGCTTGGGCGAGAGTAGTACTAGGATGGGTGACCTCTTGGGAAGTCCTCGTGTTGCACTTCTTTTTTTCTTTTTTCTTTTTTTTTTTTCTCTCTTTACACTTTCTGTCCTGAGTGTGTCTTGCACCGTTTTCCCATTCTACGACCGGTGCTCCACCTTTTAATTCTCTCAATTGGTTTTCTCTATGATTTTCTACCAGTGAAGCTCACCAAAATTTCTCAAGAAACTGAATTGCTGGTCCCATAAGGTTGGAAACGTTGGTTCGAGTCCTTGACTCTTGGATCTTTGTGCCATATATTCACCCTTGAACCTCCACCAAAGGCATCAAGGATTATCCTTGAACTTCAGGTTGTGGCATCGAGTTCTCCGTCCCTTCATAGGTTAGGCGATGACGTGGCCAATTGTTCTGCCCAAAAATTCGTTCTGTCTGATTCTAAATACTAAACATTGAACATTGAACATTGAACATTGAACATCGAACACTACGTTGAGGTGAGGTGGGAATTCGAATGGTTTGCACAGTAGTCTTCCTCCGCCTCTAGAGAGCTGCGTCAGCATTTTCACACCTTGAGAATCCACCCACCCACGTTGGTGGCTTCGATGCCTTCCCAATGTCTAGGGATGAGTTAGGTATAAATCAGAAAGCTGAGAGATGAATCCTCATCTTTTAACCATCCCGTAACGCTGTCAAATTGTTGGGATCGAATCGACAATAGTTCTATTTGCCTTGTCCAGGATCCCACGTCGTTGACGTGGATATGATATACATCAGGTGTGCGTCCATTAACCAGCGCGATCATACCAGCACTAACACATGCCGGATCCCATCAGAACCCTACAGTTAAGCGTGCTTGGGTGGGAGTAATACTAAGAAGGGTGACTGCCCGAGAAGTCCTCGTGTTGCACACCTCCCCTTTCGTTTCTTCTTCCTTCTCCCATCCACCCTACTCACAATTTCTTTTCTTCACAATAACAAGTAGTGCAAAAAGGACTGGTACCGTTTTCATTTGCCTGCTCTGGGTACCAAGCTGCCGACGCATATCTATACTTTTTGCACGTCCACTGATGGGTGCGATCATGCCAACACTAATGCACCG